GAGCTCTGTGTCGATAAATGCATACAAGTCACAAAGGAACCTAGTTAAGAGGCTAATCATCGGGACGCGGCGTACTTTCGAGAAAGACCTACTGAATCGAGCAGCAGAAAATCCGAAGTTATTCTATGGCTACATAAGAATAACCACACTAATCAGAGACCCCACCGCGTTATTGAAAGCTAGTGACGACCTAGAACTCAGTGGAGACGGAGAAAAGGCAGAGCACCTTTCACAATTTTTAAAGTCCATCTTTACGAAGGAAAGCGCATTTCTTCCTCCCGACTGTGACATAGTGGACGGGCCAACGATTGAGTATGGCTCTTTCGTCGAAGCTATTGTTCGCAAGGAACTGCTGACACTGAACTAGTCTAAACACCTGAACCGGATAACATAGCGCCCAAATTGTTGAAGGAGCTTGCTGGAGAACTATTTAAACCTCTGTCCATGCTCTTCCAAGCTTCGTTCGAAGCCGGCAATTTGCCCGCTGATTGGAAATCTGCAAGGATCACGCCAATTTATAAAGGCGGCAGCAAGGTCTTTGCAAAGCACTACGAACCAATCAGTCTTGCTTCAATTTCCTGCAAAATTATGGAAAAAATAATGAAGCGAGAAATAATGCGCTTCCTAGAAGAGCATAATCTGTTATGCGATGCCCAGCACGGACTTCGCAGAGGCAGATCATGCGTGACAAACATACTTTACTGTTTAGATCGTTGGACCCGGGCAGTCGATGGCGGCAATGCAGTGCACGCAGTCTACGTCGACTTTAAGAAAGCATTCGACAGTGTACCACATCAACGTCGCCTGTACAAATTAAGCCGGACAAGCATTAGGGGTAATCTCCTGCAGTGGATCCAGAGCTTCTTGATCGGTCGCTGTCAAATCGTCCACGATGGTGACATACAGTCGGTGGAAGTAGCGGTTGAAAGTGGTGTTTCTCAAGGCTCCGTCCTTGGCCCTACCCTATTCATTATATACGTCAAAGACTGCGTCAGTGAACTGAATCGTGATGTTGCCATGTTCGCTGATGATGTTAAACTTTGGAGCGTCATCCGAACTAAATTTGACGTAGAGCGTTTGCAGGCAATGTCTTGCGAGTCGCTAGGACGCGATCTCCGAGGCGAAGGGTTTACAAAATAAATGGCATACCATTGCAGGAGGTAGACGCCCAAATAGACTTGGGTGTGTGGGAAACGGCTTCTCTAAAACTGTCGCTCCACTGCTCCAAGGTAGCCAAGTCCGCGATGTCAGTCCTTCATCTTGTCAGGAGAACTTACTCTACCTTCGATGAGGACTGTTTCGTTAAAGTCTTTCGAACATTTGTACGGCCACAGCCAGAGTTCGCTATTCAGGCGTGGGAACGCTGGACATCTAAATATCTCATCATCCTTGAGAAAGTTCAAAGGCGGGCAACCCAACTCGTCAGTGGGCAGGGTTCACTACCCTACGAAACACGGCTATCCAATCTCGATCTTTTTCGACTGAGTTGCAGACAACTAAGAGGCGACCTTATACAAACATTCCGTATAATGCGCGGCCAGGACTGCTGTCTCTTACCTGCTGGTTTCTGTGAGTTAGCAACCACAACGAACCTCCGAGTTAATCCACTCAAAATACGTGTGACTGACGCCAGGCTGGACATTCGGAAGTTCCTCTTCTCAAACAGAGTGATTGAAGTTTGGAATGCTCTGCCTTCAGATGTCGTCATGTCCACCTCCATTGAGGCTTTGAAGCGCCAGATGGACCAGTGTACCACTAAATGTCATAATGTCACCTGACCAACATCGTCTTAGCATTTCGCCCAAACAGTATATTAATATTATTATATTCCTGCCTTATTTCAGTAAGGTTTGTTTTCTATTATTGTCCCAGGTCTTTTGGCCGTGAGTGTTGGCATTCAATTCGTCTCCCTCAGAATCTAAGATAGCACCAAATTATCCATAGACAGACTACTGTTCAGCACATTTAGTAACGTTGATGTTTTTAACACTTGGAACAATTCGTTGATGCGTCTGGTTTCGAAAACTTTGCCAATCTGAAAAAAATCCTTTAACTGTTTGACGTTTCCATTTTCAAATTATTGACATGATACGCTCCCTTGTGACAAATAAGGAGTTCAAAGTTTCAACACCTATGTTTTCCTCAAACAAACTGAAACTGAAAACTGACAAGTACAGGCGCAATCAAGTTTGATAAAGGCCACACAAGTGGCATACAGATAGTGAATTTGTATTGCATGCTCGTTGGATACCTTACTTTTAAATGATGACGAACAGTCAGCGCATTTAGCATTAATCTGCTGATTCTTTTTTGAATTGCAAAACTCTTCAGCAATGGTGGTGCCACCAGAAAAATGTCCGACGATTAACTCTATTGTTTCACTGCCGCTGTTTTTGGAAAAACAGCTGCTTAAGCAGCCCAATATGATCCACTGTACCTTGCTTTATGATGGAACGATAACAAAACTTAATCTGTCTGTGGAAGGCAACATTACAACAGGAATGTGCACATTCGCCGAAATCTTCAGAGAGGAAGACGTTTTAAATTTGCACTGTCAAATTCAGTTCAGGAGAATTAATCTGAGGATCAGTCACTTGGTAGGACCGAAATGTTCTTTGCTCGTTATGAATGTTCAAGTGTGTTTTTCGGGAAAATAACCGTGTAAACTCTTACCATTATAGAAACTTCGTCAGTATATGCGGCACAATAAGTCACCAAGACTTATGGATACATTGGAGTTTACTGTGGAAAACCTGACGGCCGTGGGAACAATTAAATACGTCTCTCCAACGGGTTTTCTTCCCGATCAGCTTCATTTTACTGACATACGGTTTCCAAACCTAAATATAAGTTTCATATACCAAAATGGTAATATTAGTGAGGCAAGTACTGATTGGCAAAAGGAGACCATCGAAAACGCTGGAAATCTAGTCGGACATTCATTCCAACAATACTTACCGACTATCTGCAGCACATAGTCGTTGGTCTTCGATTATTGCTTATCGACAATTTCTCACCCGAATTGATGCGTATTTGGAATTAAATGTAAAACGCTAGTATTTATTTTATGTTTGTGCAAAAATCCCTGCCAATACTTACTTACTTGCGATCATTTGGCCTAGTACTTCATTGTGTGTTCTAATAATTTCTTGGACACAATTTTGAAAACCTCGGCGGCCTCAGTGTTATTGGAACCCACGACAACAGGCTCGAAACCTTCGGCAACTAACCGTCTTTCTTTGCTTTTGCTGCCCTTTTAATATATTTTGTGCTCTCTAGGACTTTTAATATCATACGAATTGCATATTTTAGGTCCAGATTATATTTCCATTGGTCTACCAGTAATGTCAGTATGCTCGAAATCTGAACGTAAGCTCCTTTTCCTTGAAAACTAAGCGGGATTTTGCATAGCTTGACCCACATGTTGCAGCAAATCGCTTTTAAAGGAACCTCATTACAGTACATGTAATATTTTGTTTGTTAGCGATGATTATTTTTGCCATGTTGATTTTGTGCATTAAGCCCTGTCGGTTAAATATTTTGCAGACTTGTTTTCCTCTTACTGTCGTCCAGGCCAACCTTTATTTTTATGAATTCTTTGCATACAGGCCATTAAGCATGCAGGCGAACACACTCTTTCAAATTTTCATTTTTTACAGTGTGGTGGTCAAAACGTCTTTTCAAATGCGCTTCAATGCATTCACGATTCTATTGGTCGACGCCTTCTTCGCATGCACGTTGAATGTGACATAGGCCCTAAAGTCGCTGGGATATATTTCTGAACTTATCATGTTGTCATGTTCAAATCTAATAGCAGTCAGCCATAATACGCATGCGTATCCAATACGCAATTCAGAGTATCTCGCTAAGGGCTTGTCTGGCATACTAATATCGATTTAGATTCTCTTGGGGCCATGCATTCATTTTTAGGAGTGAACGTTAGTCACAAAACTGCAGAAACGTAATGTTGTAAGGAGTTTAAAGGAGTACTGATTAATAATGTCGATTACATAAGCATCTCATTGGTGCTCTAAGGAGAACCCACTTGGAGACCGAAACCTGGACCTTCAGCTATACATGCTATTAGTATGTGAATAAATGATACAACCGCACACAATAAGACCGAACGTATTTATTCGCCGAATATCCACTGCAGAGTTCCATCATTCAAATGCTATTGATGCTAAAATTATGTGGGATCCACACAAGGCAAAGTGCTTGCCTGCAACACATTGACCCGGCTTTCGACCTCCAGTGTCTTTGCAAAAGTAATTAAATCACACGAAATGGATGTACACGAGATGCGTTTCCACAGTCGTTTAGTAGGATGTTAAGACCTTTTTTCAACCTCCGCACCGTGGATGAGTGTGTTATTCCGGAATACATCATCGGTCTGCAGAATCATACAACATCTAGTCCCCGCTTTGAATACACAGTCGATTCCAAGATCGGATGCAGTATCATATTAAGTCTATGCACAAATAAAATGACAGTTTTTATGAGATGTCGTAACTGTGTTTTCGGACACGGCTGATCACGTCTTCCTAATTTGACGGCTCCTCGGAAATGGCTTTAGGGTCCCTATCAGAAAGGTGGATTTTGCTTTGAAATGCTTTATTGGCCACTTCGTATTTTTGAGCGCCACCTCGACTGTAAAAGCGCATTTGTCTTTTTCAGTCTGTGAGCTGCAATAAGTCCCCGTTAGTGCTCTACTGCAATGGACACGCTGAAAAATATAGCAGTAATTCGAATTCTTGGGGGAATTTCTTTCTGAAATAAGATGTCAGAGTTGTGAGGCAAAGTTTTATCGGAAAGTGTCTCCTTCTGCCATTCAGTATCAGTATCAGTTTATTAAGGGAAATAAAGGCAAGCGCCTTTGAATTCCCTCTTGGTTACAAGTCGTCGGAGAAAAACATTGATAAATGGGAAGGTGAAAAAAGGGATTTTGCACATACTCGCGGACAGCTGGCAGCTAGTCGAAAAAGAGTAATCATTAATGGTTACTTACTAATTACAAGTAGTATAAACACATATAAGATGGTACCGGGGTATGTGAGTGAATGTGGGGGTGGTAATTGGGAAGCTTGATGCAGGTCAAGTCTACACTTGAAGGAGTTCACACAGGAGGAGGTTACAACATCGGTAGGTAGGGAATTCCAGGCTGCAACCACTCTGTTACTGAAAAAGGACTTTCGTCCATTGGTTCTTGATTTCCCTGCGCGTAGTTTCAGGGGATGACCGCGCAAATTGGGCGTGTTAGCTTGGGTGAAATAATCAGTGGGATCTAAACAACAGTCTAGGCCGTTGATGATGCGAAATGTTAGTATAAGGTCACCACGTAATTGCCTGTAGGAAAGGGGAAACAGGTTTAGGATTGACAGTCTGGTTTCATAGGGCAGTGCTCCCAGACCTTGTGTCATTTTGGTCGCCCGTCTCTGGACCTTCTCCAAAACGGTATAATCCTTGGCAGTCCAGGGTCTCCACGCCTGTATGACGTACTCTAGATGAGGTCGCACGACGGTGCCAAATATTTTGGAAAAGCAGTCAGGGTCAAAACCCATAAATGCTCGCCTAATGAGTTGCAATGTGGCCGTAGCCGATTTAGCCGCCTTCGCGCAGTGCAGTGTTGGTTTGAGTGAAGATGTAATCCACACACCCAGGTCCTTCTGACTGTCAACCTGTTGCAGTGGTGTGCCGTTTAGAAAGTAGGTCCTGGGGCTGGGGGCTCTGAAGCCGCCGAGTTGAAGAAAGTTACACTTGCTTATATTGAAGGGCATAAGCCAGCGCTTCGACCAGTCTTCGAGTCTGTTCAAGTTTGCTTGCAGGTGGTCTGCGTCTGCCGCATCGTGAATAACTTTCCACAATTTTATGTCGTCGGCAAACAGGATGGCATCACAGTCTAGGTCCTTGACGCAGTCATTTACGAAAACGAGGAATAACGTGGGACCTAAGACTGAGCCCTGTGGGACGCCACTCACCACGCTTACATCTGACGACTGTTGACGCCCGACCTGCACTCTCTGGGACCGTCCAGCCAAAAAGCTCTGGATCCATACAAGAAGGCGTCCACGAATTCCAGCGTTGCGCAGTTTGTACAAGAGACGTTGATGAGGAACACTGTCGAAAGCCTTTTTGAAGTCGATGTAGATGGCTTGCACCACCTTGCCTTCATCACGTGCTTTGGTCCAGCGTTCGAGCGTAAAGAGCAGATTCGTGAGGCAGGACCTACCACTTCGAAAGCCGTGTTGGGCATCAGAAAGGAGATGGTGCTGCTCGAGGAACTGCACCAAGGCCTTCTTAATGATCTTCTCCATGATTTTGCAACAGATGGAGGTAAGACTCACTGGCCTGTAGTTATTCGCAGACGCACGACTTCCGCCCTTGAAAAGCGGAAGCTAGTTCCTTCAGCAGCTTGGCCGGGATTGCATCAGGGCCTGGGGAGGTCGATTCTTTTGGGTTTAGTAACTCATTCCGAACAATTGTTTCGGTGAAGAAGACGGCTTCGAGGGTAGGCGTTTCATCGTCTTCATAAGCGGGTGAGGAAAAAGCAGGTTCACTTGCCACGACTGACCGGAAGACCTGAGAGAGATGTTTAGCCTTATCCTTGTTATCGGAGATTTCCACACCCTCAGCCGTTCGCAGCAGTGGGACAGGATCTTTGTTCCGTGTGCTCTGTCTTATGTAGCTGTAAAGGATTTTTGGATTAATCATGGCACGGTTCAAAAGATTCTTTTCAAAAGCTTTCCTATCTCTGGCGATGAGAATTTTGACCCGATTTCTCTGTAACTTATAACTGCTTAGGGATTCTGGCGTGCGATCCGTCAGCGATCTTTTCCATAGCTTCCTCTTCTTGTTAACTTCCTTCTTTAATGACGGAGTCAACCAGCGAGGTCTATTTGTTAGTCTTTTGCGCATGATTGGACAGTGGTTGGAGATGAGGTTGTGGACTAACTCTTTGAACTGACACCAAGCCTCTTCGACATTGCCGGAGAGAGTGGATGCCCAGTCGATAGGACTAAGATCCTTTTTCATCTTTTCGAAATCGCCGCGCCAAATATTAGGTCGGGAATAGAGCGGTTGTGTAGAAAGGGAAAATAACGTGTATTCCCACATAAGAACTACATGGTCACTCTGACCCAACGGGGGGAGGCAATTCACAACGTCGACGTTGTCAGACGACTTGGTGAACACAAGATCGAGGCAGTTCATCTGTTGGCCGTCTCGAACTCTAGTTGGAAACATTACGTGTTGTGTGAGAAGCAGGTTGTCGGAGGTACGCAGTAGCTGCTGGTCAAATGCTGCTTCAGAGCAGTCGGCTGAGGCCGAGCTCCAGTCGATGTGAGGTGCAGTAAAATCTCCAACGATGAGAGTGGTCGGCCGCGTTGAAAATAATCTGAGCTCCTGCAGCAGTTGGGCATCAGCGTCAGGGTCATTTCTCGGGGGGCGATATACTGTCAAGATATCGAGACTTTGAGAGCCCGGTGCCCTTATGGTCAGCCATAATGCTTCGGTACTACAAGTCAGTTGGACAGTTTTTTCTGAAACGTGCAAGCCGTTCTTAAAAAATGTTATTATGCCTCCACCCCTTCTGTTTTCTCTGTCTCGGCGGAACAGTTGAAATCCAGGAGCATGAGCTCTCTATCATCAACCTGTTCGGACAACCATGTTTCTGTTATTGAGATAACATCTGGATGGAGGTCGTAGGTATGGATACGGAGTTCGTCCAGTTTAGAAAGTACACTTTGCGCGTTGGTATACATGAATATGAGTTTCGAGTTCATGTGAGATTTGTTTTCAAACCCGACACGGGCTACTGGGGTAGCTGTGCAGTCATTCGGATCGGCTTGATCCAGAGGGGAGCGGAATGTCGTTTGACAATCCGGTCTTTGTAGATTGTCAAGTTTTTCTCTCCGTTGGTTTGCCGTGTTTTCAATTCTAGGACAAGTTCTCGGCGTTTCATTCTCTCGGTAGGCGAGTAGTCCGGCTGAAAAAAACACTTCTTTATGGGAATGCTTCAATCGAAAACGCCTGGAAAGTATTAGTTTCGCCTGCTCATTGCTACCAAGGACGATTTTTAGGGGTCGCGGTCGCGTCTTCGGAGCGGCCTTTGTACGGCTACCAAGACGAAACGCCTTTAGGACTGTGACATCTTCTGTTGGTTGCAGCATTTCATTGAGGAGTTTCTGGAATTGCTCTAAGTCAGCAGCGATTCGTTCCCTGGGAGAACTGGCGGAGGACTCTGCGAGGCCCTGAATTATGACACAGTGGTCCTTGTTAAGCATTCCTCTGTTTTCTGCGATTTGGACGTCGTTGGCTGGCCTTATTGCCTCGTCGAAGTGGACTGGAGAAGGGGAAGGGGCTGCCATATTGGTATTTATGTCCCCGTGAAGTTCGTCCGCGGATCCTGTTAAGGCATCGTGACTAGTTGCACACTGGGATCTATCAAAAATACCTCCCATCAGAGGGCTCTGTGGAGAGCTTGACCCCCATGAACTAGAGGCTTCCTCAGCTCGGTTCTTGACTCTGTTGACATGGGAATTCGCGGTGGCAGCTAATTCTACCCTGGGTCCATAGCCATATGTCTTTGCGCTAACTGATAATCCCTCTAAGTTAGGCTCCGGAAATGAGAACACTGTTTGGGAATTATTAACATTGGGCGTCATCTGCCCCATTACTTCCACTTCTTCCGTTGGCACATTTACATTCGTTTCATTTTCCAACCGCTTTTCGGGTAAGGCTAGTATACTCTCTTTCGTATTCTGGCGACTTTTCCCTGTGGTGTTAAGTGTCGTCTTCTTCCTCTTATTCTTTATTTCATCGGAAGCCACGACTTGATTACTAATAGTAGTTGTCTTATTCACCCCATAATTGCTTTCTGGGGATTCCTTACGCTGGATGGCTCTCGCTCTACTCCGAGTTAGCCTCTGCGTAGATAACACCGGGCGGTCCTCTGAAGGAACAGTCTTGTGTATAAGTTCCTTCAGATTTCTTACTTCTTCCTCTAGTTGATGCATCTTGTAGGCTATCGTTTGACAACCATTACATGAATATCCTACCAGATCCTGCGGTGAGGAATTAATAAAGCTTTTAACTGAGCTGTCCAGCCGTGCGTCGGTGGTGTAGGGGTTAGCGGAGCGAGCCCTAAGTCTTGAGGTCCCCGGTTCAAATCACAAGTGCGCGTTACTTTGGAACACTAGTGCAGACTCCAACATTCTGGATAACTTTTCTATATACACAAAGAGCGTAGACTTAAGTATGAAGGAAAGGCCTTTATGACGATCTTTCGGTAGATAGTAACTTCATTAGCTGAATGGGAAGGTATGGTCGAGAAGCTTCCGAGAGCAAAAATTTAGACAAATACTTCGAGGCGATGATGAAACAATGTCTAATAGTAGAAAAGCGTCTCAGCCTTTGTAGAAACTTTGAATAAATTGTTCTTCGGATAATCAGACTTTCTGGGCTAGCAAGTATGAGAAACGAGGAACGCCGAAATCGGAGTTCTGGGAATGTGCTGCAGGAGACTAGTTGGGAGGAAGATATCGATGAGTCGAATTCAAGTCTAAATTCCGGCAAGCTCTAAGAGCGTACAGTAAGTCCAAATCTCGAAGTAACTAAATTCCTCGGAGAGCGAACATTTGAAATCAAATTCGAAACGCGCGCGGTAATTTGGCTATTGACGAGGCATATGAGATTGCAGACAGACAAACTGGCACGTGTAGCTGCATTAAAATATTTGCATCTGGACTATTCCAGTTAGCAGTTAATGGGACTTGCTCTATCAAAATTCGCTCGCCTAGTCTTTGTTTTCAGAAATTTCGGAAACTTGGATTAAACTGTGGCGTTTGCTCACGTGTTTTTTGAAGTATTTATGCATCTGCAAATATATTGCGCCAAATAATTAACTCTTATCTACACGCCGGCCATTGTCAGGCGTGTGGGATGGGACTGTGGTAGAACATTCAATTTCAAGACGATTACTTTACCCTGCCCCACAAATAAACATAAGTGTGTAAGTACCAATGAGAACGGTTTTTAAATGCAGCCTCTACTTGTATTTAAAATGGGGCAGAGGAGCTGTTAAGATAATTGGACCCAACTTTGTTGCTGAATACACGCACGCAGGCGAGTTTATTGGCCAAGTACATCGAAAGTTACCGGTGGGGAATATTCGAGTTTTCCATCGGTAATTACGCCATGCCACTACATTTTTCGGTATATCGTGGGAAAAGCATTTGAAGGAAGCATTGCCTTGTTCGAAGTCGTCAGTCCTCTTTGGAGCCTTTCTGGTTGATTTTTGGCGATTGGATTTCTTCGGCGTTAGCACTCAGGTTTTCGAATACTCCATGATTTTCGATTTCGGCAGCGGTCGTACGCGTCCATTCAAAAGCTAATTAAGATTAAAGAAGGCCGTTCAGTTTATCCTTTTCAAATTCCATGAGGCTTTTTTGAGCGAACTCACACGGCGCCGTTTTTATGGTCAGGCGGTCCATGGGGTCCCAAAAGTCGAACTTATTGATCAAAACCTAAGTGGTTGCAGACGCTGCTACGGAGAGGATGCCGTCGTCTGGTGTTTCGAATGTGCACTCGAACGCATCAGCAGATAGAGTACCTGAGGGTGTTTCAGGGCAGGATTGTTCCACCTGAGTAATAACTGTGTCTGGGAGAAGGCAAACTTTGGTCTGTTTGTTTGTGCTGCCTTAGCGACAATTCGTGATCTCTGCTCTCCAATGTCAGTCTTCGGGCTCCCAGTCAAATTTTAAACATTTCTGAAAAATCGACGTTGTTTTGTCAGTGCTGCCAATGGGTCGATGTTGTTGGTAAGAATCTCATTTTGAATAACTATCACCTTTTCTATTTTCTTTGAGATTTGTGTACATGGCGTTCATGTTGGCTTGTCGATTGATGAAGGAATCGTCAGGGCAAACGACCTCCAAAACTCTCGGCTATTCCTCTATGAGCAGAAGCCGACAGTGCGCGTTTTTTTCTTAACAACTTCGTTAGACCTAATATTCCTGATCGTCCTAACTTGGGATTTTAGAAGTGATGGTGGTTGACTGATTGATGTAAACTCTCCTTATAAACCAGGTGAGATTGGGCTAGGAATTGGGCTAGAATTAAATTCATTTGTAAGGCCTTGATAGTGTTTTCTTCTGGCTCATGTCCCGAATATTCATCAAATTAGTGTTATAAATCAAATATGTGACTCTTATTTGGCCAATTGCCATATGGAACAATGCAACCATTATGTCTTGCAGCCTTTTAGACCCAGTATCCCATTCTATAAGATATTAGCCAGTAGACGCTGCAGTTACTATACCAACGAACCGCATCCGAAACTTTCGGCTGCGAAGCGCGCAGGCATACTGTTATGGACTTAGACATACCTTAAGGACATGTGATAATTCTCATGCATAGGACTTCCAGTAGCGGTGGCAGCCAGACCTCACCGGCTTTCTCACATACTTTTCACAAGTGTCAACATTCCCATGCGTGTACCACAAACAGACTCTCGTCTGTGATTTATCTTGAGTGATATGCTCCTGAAGAGATTTACTTATTGGGACACTTCTTGTTTACGTGTAGTAACGAGTGCATATGAAAACCGACTCGCGCATAAGGCATGACGACCCTCCTCTCCCAAGGTTTAAACGGTATTCGTACGATCCTTGTACTTTAGACACACTCTTGTATGCGAACACTGTGTATGTAGCTCCCCACCTCGAAAGGTTACCTCTGCAGAAATTAAAACAGATTGTCAGCGTGTTGACATCTGAAAGCCTATTTTCGAATTTGGGAGCATTTGCACAAAGGTCGTAAGTTGGCGCTCAGTCCAGAAGACTGCAAATGCTTGGCGACTTTGTCTCTTACATGAACAGATTTTGAGCTATGGTTAGCAAAATTAAGAGATCCGGGTCGGTAATCTGAGGAGAATGAATTGCTCACCGGATCGTGGGACTTTTCTGGCTGACGTTTCGAAGAGCTGGGGCTGCTCTCCATTGCCAAAGCGTCAAGTGAACAAATCGATCAGCATTTTTGAATAGACTGCCACATTAGTTGGCCCTGGGCTGATCGATTTTTTTCTTCCTTCTCTGCCTCGGCCGTCGCCTGTGAATGTTGGTGGCCTCCTGTAATACGTGTCTTCACCTCAATTGGGGTTGGTTGCGTTTGCTTTCCCCTTTTGGGTGAAGTGGTCGACAGGCCGTGTTTGCTCGGCATTCTTAGGCTCCGTGTGATTGTCTTGTCTTCGTCACGGTGTATGAAGTGACGTAGGACTTTATAGGCCGAAGGAAGGTCTAGATGCCTATTGATGGAGTTGGCATCTGAGTACCAAGCCTCAAGAGTGAGACGCTCAGTCCTTGAGGTGCCCCTGCCGAGCAAACACGGCCTGTCGACCACTTCACCCAAAAGGGGAAAGCAAACGCAACCAACCCCAATTGGGGTGACGACACGTATTACAGGAGGCCACCAACATTCACAGGCGACGGCCGAGGCAGAGAAGGAAGAAAAAATCGATCAGCCCAGGGCCAACTAATGTGGCAGTCTATTCAAAAATGCTGATCGATTTTTTCACTTGACGCTTTGACAATGGAGAGCAGCCCCAGCTAATCGAAACGTCAGCCAGAAAAGTCCCCCGATCCGGTGAGCAATTCATCCTCCTCAGATTTTGAGCTATGTTGGTTGTTCAGACTTTTCAGCGAACTGGTATGGGCCTGAAGACAATAAATTGTGTATGACGTTTTAGGCGCTTGGCATCCTTACTTAATTGAATGTGTCTTTGGGGATTTTAACTGGAATCAACTAAGCTAACATTAGTTCGTCTACTTTTGACAGATGGCGAACGCAAAACCTTAATTCATCGTCAGGCCGATACATGTTAATGTGAAACACTTACCGTGCAAACTGGTGATCAATCACACAGTGGCACTAAATAAATGCATTCGTCCGGGAAACGAAGTCAGCTCCGATTTGACAACTTTTATCAACATCTTGCGGCATATAATTTATGTTGGAAGCGCGTTCGCCGATCGGGTTACAAGGCGTGCGCGTCCCGTGCTGGTTTGTGACTCGATCTACGTCCCCGAAGGCGGTCGCACGCTGACTTATAATAGATGATCACCGATGGCTGCAGACCTGGGTCTTGAATCGTCGCTCGGGTTAGTGCGAATTTTGTCGGTTTCCATGCGATGGAGAGCTTATCGCTGCTAGCAAATAGCTTAAAAATAAACCATATGGATTACATTAGTTTCGCTCAAGCTTCGCTTTCCGTCTGGAGTATGTTTCATGCAAACAGTTCTATTTATGTAGTTCATCCGGCTTCCAGCCTTCAGTCGCGCGGTGTCCTTCACTTGTCACTTCATTTTTGTCTCTCTTGCCGCAACTAGACCGTCATGCGTATGGTATAAGACCTCATTTTTATTATTATTTACTTATTGTTTTTTTCATCCTAGTTATTTATGTCGCTATCGTTTGTGATGCTTCCATGTTTATTGAACTGATATTTGGCATAAACGTAACCAACTCGCACGCTATTGCACTGGGTATTACAATGCAACATCAATTTCTAACCCTCATGCGTCGTCCTGTGTGTCCAAAGCTTAAACCGCTGCAAAGTCATCTGTACCCTCTAAGTTTAAAGGACTCCATCGAGTTTGTCGAGACGATCAAGGATATTATCGTTGACGGACGGATGGTGCTATCGATAGACGTAGCATCACTGTTTACTAATGTACCCGTAGCCAAAACAATAAACTACGTTTGTGACGTTACCCGCGAAACGAACTACCTGTTAGGCATGCCGTTGGGGACGCAAAAAGAACTACTGCCACAGTGCACGCAAAACGTCCAGTTTCTCTGCAATGGTCAAGTGTACAGGCAAATAGACGGCGTAATAATGGGCTCACCGCTCGGCCCGTTCCACGCAAAAGTCTTCATGGGCAAAGTCGAAATGACAAGCTTACAAGACACTATTAATGACCTTAAATTTTTGCGATCGGTACGAGAACGATATTTTCCGCCTGAAGGATGTTACCACCGAAACAGACGCCCTGGTTCAAAAATTCGACAATGCACACCCCTCATAAAGTTCTCTACAGAGTTTAAGGCAGACAACGAAATCGCGTCCCTCGATGTTCTTCTGCGCAGACAAGAGGATGTGCCTATCCAACGTAGGGTGTTCGGAAAGAAAACCTGGACGAGACAATACATCAATTTTCACAGTTTTGTTCCCTAAATATTAAACGCAATTTGATCCAGGAATTGGCAACTAGAGTGCGACGTATCTGCCCTCCTGTGACTGTTAAGGCAGAATTCCAGCAGCCGCAGGATATACTCCACGAAAACGGATGTCTAGGAAGATTAATCCTCCGAAATATGGGGGAGCGCACTGCAAATCCCACCATAGCAACGTCAGAAAAGAAAGAATTATTTATAAGACTGCCTTTTCAAGGGGACGCAGCAAGTTACCTAGTAAAAAGACGTTTGAAGACCGCGATCACTAGCGCTTTCCCCGCGGCGAACTTACGCGTATGTTTCATGAACACTCCTCTCCTACGCTTGAGAGATAACGGCCGACTCCCGTTGCAGGCCACATCGATGTGTATTTACTCATTCACTTGCTCCTGTGGGGCGGGATACATTGGCCATACAACGAGGCGCCTGGAAAAGAGAGTACGTGAACACATACCGGCCTGGCTAGACAGAGGTGAAAAGAAATCGATCTCGAGTTCTATTCCCGCACATCTTGTCGATAAGAATCACCGAGTCGATGCCAAAGAAGCCGATCAGGTTGTCTACCGGACACCAGCAAGCTTCTCCGGAGGCCTACGCCAACGGGTGCTAGCTACAGCCGAGGCAGTGGCTATACGGCTAGCCAATCCAGTGCTATGCTGTCAGACGACTCTGACACAGGCGCTCTGTCTTCCGTGGCCAACGCTGACCCCAACGTCGCCCCAACCTGATGGCAGTGGTGTGTGCACAACGTACCTGACGTACAAACATTACTCGCAGGCTATTTTCCCCTCTACCTCGCCCCCTTGACCCAATGACCACAACACGCCAACCACGCCATATCGCGCCTCGCCGTGCGAGTGGCGTGGGAACGATGAGTCGCCTGGGAACGATAGGTGTGAATAGCCCAGAATCACTTATACAGCCTGCTAGTTCGCATATTCTCAACTACTATGTGACTGTCTTGACCTGATGTCGAGTTACCGAAAACACGTGTTTGCCAAATTGACTTTTCACCAAATTTGCTAGAAAAGCAAATAGTGATCAACTATGTTCTCAATTATCCAGCGCATCCAGTTACCTGCTCCTCCTCCTTCGACTCTCAATCTTTCCTAAATAACTCTGTCCCGCAGCTTTTACAACCTCACACACTTCATCTCCTGGAAATTAAATTATCGCACCTATGTTTATGCTGTTACTTTAACCAATTTACGCAGCTCACCAGACCTGAAGACAATTTGCCAAAACGACCGTTCAGTTATGCTGACGTATTTGCAAAACGTTGATAGCATATTCTGCGTGTGCAATCCTGCCATATTCTCTCTAACGCGCCCTTCTCGGCAGAGTCTAGCAGGGAAGTACTCCGTGCTGGAATGTGGTGCTTGGTTGGAAACATTTTAATCAGGATGTTGACTGATCATGTGAAAGGGACTATCTGATTACTAGTATTCTAACTACTCGGAATGCAATGTTTTTTTACCATAAATTGTATGTTACGCTTGTAGCCAGTACCTCTTGGATGCTGACTCCTGTCACATCCTCCTTGATCTGGTCGGTTGTATTATTCATAATGTAACACACAGTCTAGTGGACCGACGATCAGGTACCATCCGGTCAACATTGTTTAGATATTTCAGACATTGACGGTTACCTCTTGCAAAATTTGACAGTTGAGAGAACCTTAAATATTAATTGTGTGGGTTCAAAATCATAAAAACAGGTGGTGAGTCACTTTGTTTATGGTCATGTGGATGTGGTTTTCAAGCCAATGTTGGGGCCTTGGAAATAAACAAGCAACATACGGCAGGTCCCAACATAGCCACGACTACCAGAACATTCGCTGGGGATTCGTTCGGCTTATCAGTAAAAAAATCATGCCTGAACGTTTAACTGAGAGTTCGAGCGTCGTCGTTGACGATGTTCATAGTATGCCCTACAGCAGAATGAGAGAAGGGATGGTAAGTTGAGCGTGACTTCTTTTATAATGTGGCACATTTGCGCTGCATTCATTTCACTCTCACCTCTTCCTACATATAGGCTTGGTGTCGTTACAGAGTCAGAAATTAAGCAAGGCAAGAGTCAAGAATGCCGAAGACGTGAGATGGCGGGGGTGGCTGGCATGACAAAGGCCCTTATCTAGGGGTGTCACCGCATCGCCTGGGCCACAGTGTACGCTGTCTTGGATTTTGCATTAAGTAAAAAAGGGAGGCTTGGATCCTACCGAGTGACAGTGTCATAAATGCCACACTAAGAAGGAGCTACTGTGGTTTACCTTTCAGTTCATCAGTTTTTCACTTCACTCACAAACACGCGACTGTGCTGACCGTGTGTTCTGACTTGGAGCGTCAGCTGGCAGCCTTGCAAGATACGGCCTCTAGCGCGCCGTGATAGTTCCAAGCTTATGTAATTTTTTATAGGGAGGAATTATACGCAGTGCGTCTGCCCCACTCATTCCACGTTATACGCAGCATCGGTCGAATTTTCGAGTCGGCAAACTGAGTATAATTGAGAGTATGGAGGTGACTCACAGAGCTGAGAACACCTCATCTGCGTGTGCTGCACACGCGACCTGGCTCTCCTTACATACACCCCGATTTCACACAGAAGTGGGTAATCCGTTCAGATTTTATTTGCAGAAGTGGAAACGCGTAAAGAAAGGAGCCGAAGAGCACACCTTCCACTTACGTGAGAGGTGCTAGTGGTGTGTAATGTTGGAGATGTGATTATGTGGTGTATGCATTGATGAGGAATGTGTAATGAGGTGATCAGGCCTACGCCGATTAACCACAGGTATTCTCGAAAGCGCATTTGGTCACGTCAGCGAATGCGATGGCTGAATGTGCAGGGGCATTTCGGAAAGTTGAGGCGCTGGTATCTGGTTTGTGTTGGCGTTCCAGGTACTAGTTCGCCAGTCTCTGCGATGGATTCGCAAGTGACCGACACGACCGACGCCTGGGCTGAACGCGTGGTGACAGTATAGGCAGAATAAGTTGGAAGCTGTTACGTCGGTTACCTTTGTTTTGCTGTTACACATCTGCACGCTGATGGATGGGGTGCCGATAGGGTTAGGGATGTGACATTTAGTAGATAAGCAAGGTGTGTTAGGTGTGTCAAATTTGGTATTACAGAAACCTAGGCCGTGAGTGAGACCCTGGCTACCTAGACCTTCTGACCAGCTCCCGAATGGAAAGAGAACATGGACGACAGTTCAGCACAAAACAACTGGAGAAGGGACTTGAAGGAGTGTTAGTCGGGGAATGCGTCAAAGCATCTCAAACCAGGACACGTCTTATTCGACCTTGAATTTGATTGGCCAGTTGGAAAGCAGAGTGGACGAACGCCGGACAGCCCGGTGCGCACTTGTGGATATTGGCGAGAGGCCCAGCGTTACGACTGGCGCTCAGAGTAGGACCGTCAGATTGCGATCAATTCCGCTGTTGTGGACACACATGTGATCCGATATGGCCATTCGTATAACCATCCACCACCTTCACTATTCATATTATTACCTCCAGCGACGTGGGCTCGGTCTCAACCTGTCTTAGTTGTGATCGTACATTTATCTCACAACGGCCTGGTTGGTTACTCGCGGATCCATCATGCTGTAATCGACGCACCAGTGCGTATCCGCCTTCGCTGTCTACACTGTCCACGCCCATTCGGTCACGTGAACTTCAATAACATCGGAACAGACTGCGGTCTCAATACAACTAACACACCTTGCACATCCACCCACCCTCCCTTCCATAGCCTACTCAACTCTCCAAGAGTCAGAGCAGCCACAAATAGCAGCATCAAAACGACAACTGACTCCACCTCTCCTAGTCTTTCCTGGACACAATCTCACCATGCGTTCTCTTCGTACATCGGCTTGGTCAGTCATTTGCGAATTCAGTACACAGATACCAGGACAACCTGTGCTCTGAGCACCAACCTACATCTGATGCCGTCGCCTCAAATAACCGCATTACCCTAGTCATGAACTGGTGACATGCTCACTCATAGAAATCTGGGGGTAAATCACCGCAGATATCAGCCTGCGTTCTCCCATCCACCCATGCACCCGCATAAACACCTCAAAATCCCACACCACCGGTACCTCTCACGTAAGTGCGAAGCCTGCCCGTCGACTGCTTTCTCCATGTGGCTCCTCTGCTGCATGTGGATTTTTAACAGTGTACTCCTCTTGTATAAAAATATGGTGTTTGTATGGGGGCCGGGTCATGTGTGGCACAGGGTGACAAGGTGATCTCAAGTTTGTCAGTCCACCCTCGATATCTTAGCATCGCTGGTTTAAAGGCACGATGTGGGGCAGAGTGAGGGAGGTCGAATGTCTCAGCGCAAAAATCCATTGATATAACCAATCCGACACGTTCAAGACTGACGTGGTAAATCAAAAGTTGTGGCCTGGTAGGTTGCCAAATGACGCTTCAACTCAGACCACGCATAGAGCTCAGCCGTTTTATTTGCAAACTGAGTGTCTGTCTGCTGAACTGAGTCAGTCTCCGATGGCTTCTTCTTAATGGTTCGGCCTGAGACATGTGAGATTCAAAGAGGTTTCCCTGAGTGTGTAATCCTGGTGAGTGCGTTTAGGGGGTGGGTCTTGGTTGCGGCACGCGCAGACGAGCTCTCTAGTTTTGTCAGTCATACATTGACATGGCTATACGTTTATAATGCTGTCGAAATGATTAAAAGGAAAATGCGGGCAAGCAGAAATTATTCTGTAACTGGGGTTTGGGTGAGTGAGGTGAATTCTGGGTTGAGGTGTCTTTTGAATTTTTTAATGGGAATTCTCAAAGTTTCGCAGTTATGTGACTTTGTTGCTATAGCTTTCTTTCTTCTTTCTCCAGTGCAATTGATTTGCTTGGGTCGTTGTTTTCGCGCAGCGGAAGCAGTGCGACGAGTAACTGCAAATCATACTGCAGAAAAACGGGGCATTAGCGAATGATCAAAACAGACGAAGAATGGCTCAAACACCTGCCGAGGAAGCAACCGAGTGTTTGCAGCTCGAATTGACAAAGCCCGGCTGCAAACACGGAGATCGCATTCTGGTTCGCTGTCAACAGAATGAACGGGACAAGCTGAGAGTGACTGAAAGGCGTTAGCGAGGGACAGCAGATCAGTGCCAAATACGAAGTCATGTTCAGTATTCACGCGACTACAATCGCTTTGCATTCCGGTACAACGCAGCTGACGACAAATGCTTGAGCCGGAATGTTCACAGTCGCACTATGACTGAAGAGTGTCCATATTGCAATGCTCTGATGTTTAACAGAGAGGCTAAAGGAATGTGTTGCGCCACCAGAAAAAGTAAACTACTTGAACTTTCAGAAACGCCAGAGCCATTAGAAACTTTGCTTGCCGAAAGACCGCCGAATCAAAGCCCTTCCTTTGTAACATCAGGGACTACAACTCATGCTTCCAAATGACGTTGTTCTGCGCAGATATCATAACGGGTCTATTCATGCCAACTTCCTAAGCGAAAGGACAAATTTATCATATAACCGGCTCCCTTCTTCGACACCCAAGGGATCAGAACAAATTCCTACAAATTTACTTCATCGGTGATGACTACGACGAATGGAATGAAGGCTGCGGAATTTCTACCGGCATAAAGGTTCCATCGTTTCGCAACTGCAAGAGCATCTCCACGAAAACAACACCTTAGTGAGTTTATACAAAACCGCAACTACCATGATGCCATCTGATACGCACAAGATTGTCATTTAGGTTGACAAAACGCCTGCTGGACAACATGAGCAAAGACTCCGCGCTCCAACTAAAGACGAAGTGGCGATTGCTATAGTCGAGGATCAATTTCAACATAGAGGTATTGCCCTCCATCGGAGAAATGATCAATTGACAAAAGTTGCAGAAACTCATCGGTGCTACGATGCCCTGCAGTATCCGATGAATATCACTTCAGTGTAAAGGTGATAAATCCAGTCGGCGACGGGGAAACGCACATGAAGTGCAGCGCAATGAACTATTACTCATATCGACTAATGATTCCATAGAATTCATACAATTTCCTTTTGAAATGCCGTCAATTGTTTCACCACTACGGCATGGATATGTATGCAAAAATCGAAACAAAACGTCTGTTTTTTTATTCACTTGAATCAGAACACGCTTCGCTCTGAACAATATATTCATTTGGCGATGCCGTTGTAAACAACGGTAATACAATAAACGTTGGAAGACTAGCGACTTTGCCACCCCCATATACAGGCGGTTCACGCGATATGCATGAGTACGCTCAAGATGCTAATGCTTATGTTTGTCCGTACGGGCGTTTGGACCTATCAATTAGATTAGCATGTAATCCCGCTTGAAGTGGTATTCAACAGCTCTTACTCCTCAGCAGTCACCGGTGGATAGGCATGATATCACACCTTGTGGTAGACTGCATGCCAATTCCCCCTGCATTAAAGGGGGAAAATACTCTGAGCGATATCCTCAAGCATTGGTATGTAAACACAGTTTCAGGGCTGATGGATATCCCTTATACAGAAGACGATCAGCAGAAGACGGCGGCAAATTGGCGAACATACAAATGCTAGACGATGACATAGGTGTTGATAAGCGCTGAGATGTTCCATATTCGTCTTTGCTTTTGAAAGCACACAAAGCGCACATAAATGTGGAATACTGCAACTCCGTGAAATCACTTAGATACATTTGAAAGTACGTGAATAAAGGCAGCGAAATGGCCGTTTTTGGCCTCAACCCAGAAAGGGGAGAAAGGAATGCGGACATGCAAGTCGATGAAATTGCACAGTATCGGGCTGGACGATACATCAGTAGCAGCGAAACCGTATGGCAAATTCTTTCATTTCGCGCACACGAACGACGTCCAACTGTTGTTCACTTAGCAGCACATTTAGAGAATAGGCAACGCACTTACTTTACCGCTGCAAATGTGCAAAAGTAGTCCTAGATCCACCGGCAACAACAATAACTGCTTTCTTCACATTATGCCAAAATGACGCGTTAGCGAAAACACTGTTGTATTCGGAAGTGCCTGCGTATTACACATGGAATGCATGTAGGTAATCTTTCGAGCGACGCAAACGTGGAGAACGAGTCGGCGGAAAACCGGACATATTCAAAGGAGCTGTGATAGGCAGACTGTATCCCGTGCATTCCCATCGGGACGAGTGCTTCTTTCTTCGCACGCTGTTAGTGAATGTGCCCGGTTCAAGGTCTTTCCAGTCATTGAGGTTTGTCAACTGTGTTACATATGACACGTTCCACAGTGATGACTGAATGGAGTATACATCACCCCCTCCCACCCGCCTCGGCCAGCGGCCTGTTAGAACGTTACCGCCATCCGCCCGAGCAAAACTATAACACAGTTGATTTTCTGTCGTATCTGCAATCAAACATTCCTAGGCTAGCACTGGACCAGAATAGCATTTACGATCAAATAATGCGGACTGTCAATTGGGGGTTGGGAAAGTATTCTTCTTAGATGCGCAAGGAATGACTGACAAAGCATGCCTAATAAGACTGATTCTGGCAGTAATTCGATCCAAAAACGACATTCCTCATTCCTCGTCTGGAACAGCTGTGACCATACTACCCGGCGGAAGAACTGCTCATTCCGCTTTGAAACTGCCATCGAAATGTTGAACTCCCACTTGCAACGTTCCCAAGGCATCCGGCATGGAAAAAGTACTGCAGAAATGCAAACCTATTGCTTGGGATGAATGCACAATGGCACGCAAAAACTCCCGAGACCCTTGATCGCTCACTGCAAGATTTGCGCGGAAATACAGTAGATGTGCTAACTCATGAAATGTCAACCAAAATAAAGATAAAGATAAATTAAGTAGTGTTGTAAAAGTAATCAAGATGTAGCATAAATCTATAATGATCCAGTTACCTCAGGGTCTCGGCTTTCGAAAGAACTTATTTTCGGCTGCATTCAAGATCTATACTCTGCAAAAAATGGCTACTTAGGTAGTACGCAGTATTCTCATTGATTTTCGACGCCCTTGAAAATTCAATTATATTTCATGGAAAACGTGCATAAAAATATTCATTCTTTTTCTTATTCGGTAGAAAATCACGTCTTCTTCTAATTTCATACTCAAAAGAAGAGTATGATTCGGTTTTAAAAAAGTTTCTAATTGTGAGATTTTTTAATACCTTTAAATGGCCGTTCATGAAACATCATGCATCTCCATTTACGAATGTGGCTTGTAAAGATAACAATATTGCTCAAATCCACTGCTTAATTTTATGAACCTCATATGGTCTCCTCTTAACACCGTAGAGAAATGCATGGTTTTCCGTACACGGAAAATAAACCGCTTGTAGTATTGAAACCCTGAATGCAAGTGTAACAGCAGGTCGGGTTCAAAATTATTCGGGAAATAGAAAAGTTTTTTAAAACCGAATTATACTCTTCTTTTGAGTATGAAGTTGAAAGAAGATGTGATTTTCTACCGAATAAGTAAAAGAATGAATATTTTTATGCATGTTTTCCATGAAATATAATTGAATTTCCAAGGGCATCGAAAATCAATGAGAAAATTGCATACTACTTAAGTAGTCATTTTTTGCCGAGTAAAGATCTTGCATGCAGCCGAAAATAAGTTCTTTCGAAAGCCGACACCCTGAGGTAACTGGATAATTATAGTATCATGCTACATCTTGATTAGTTTTACAATACTACTTTATTTATCTTTTCGAAACGAGAACGCATTTCGGAATTTTGGTTGACATTTCATGAGTTAGCACATTTACTGTACCAGACCATTTGGAGACGCATTACTACTGCTTGCAGGAGACATCAGGCAAACATTGCCTGTAATTCCTAGGTAAAAACCAGCGGACGAAATTAATACCTGCCTGAAATACAGTACTTTATGGCGCCACGTTCAGACGGTAAAATTAACTACAAATATGCGTGTCTACCTGCAAACCGACTGGTCAGCTGAGATATTCTCACACGAATTGGGAACGGAAGGGTGCTGGATGACGCGACTTCAGGACGCATTTCACTATTTCTTACCTTGGGCAATTTATTGGCGTCAAGAATTGATTGAAAAAGTATACCTCAATATTCAAACCAATTATACGAATCCCGATTGGCTTAGCGGACGAGCAATTCTTGCGGTCAATAACAAAGGGGCCTACCAACTTGACCATATTATTCAGAGTAGGGTTCAAAGCTAGGCAGTCACATCCACGTCCGTCGGCATTGTTGTGGAAGCAGACGAGGCAGTTAATTATCCAACAGAATTTTTGAATGTACTTGGTTTGCAGGGATGCCGCCGCACGTACTGCAATTGAAAATCGTCTTGCCGATTCTCATGGCTTGCAGTAAAAAAATTGATGAGAAACGTTGTGGAAGCAACTATCTTTTAAAGGTGAACATGTCCTTATTCCTCGCATTCCACCGATTCCAACTGATATGCCATTTCCATGTAGGAGACTGAAATTCCTGATTCGATTGGTGTTTGCAATCAGCGTCAACAAAACTCATGGCTAATCTGTAGAATTGTGCGCTTTGGATCTGCAACCGAATTGTTGTTCACATGGTCAACTACATGTTGCATGCTCCAGAGTCGGCAAACCAGATAATTTCTATATCTGCACAGGTAGTGCAATGACAAAAAAATATTGTATACCCACAAGCATTTTGAAATTGGACATATTAGAAGCGTGCCTCTTACTCTTTTCCTTCTTTTCCATCTCATAAGACTGAGTCACAGCACCGCGTGACCGGGTACAGCTAGTATTTATATATTAAAAAGGAGCGCATGCAAGGAAAATAAGAAGACGAAAAATCTTTCGACTCAAACACTCCATGAACAAGATTGGCCAAAGATGACATCAGTCGCCTGTGCTAGTAGTGGGCCAGAAAAATAAAATTCCCAAAAAGTAGAGGATAAGTTTGAAAAGTGGCTTTAGTCGCCCCCGAGTTTCTCCTCCCACCTCCTTGCTCTTCTTCCTCTTCTTCGTCATCCTGTACTCCCCCTTCATTTTCAGCGTCATCGTCGTCGTCGTCGTTGTCGTCATCCGCATCCTTCCGGCCTCCAGCCGAGCCATCCTCATCCTCGTCATCATCATCCTGCTGGCTACCCTCACTTCCTTCATCTTCGTCGTCATCTACCTCATCAGACCCAAGTTCCATGGATCCAGCTGGGTCGTAAGGCCATTGTCCCTCAAAGTTGCCCGGTGGCCGATACAAGCACACAAATACCTTACGGGCATCGGCCGTTCCATTGCAGAAGTGCAACGCACAACCAACTTCCTCTGTGTCGTCCCATATCAGCTGAGTGTAGTGTTGACAGAAGGCCGCGCAGGTGTTTGTCCTGAAGGCGTAGAACCTGGCCTCCCGAAGCCAGACCTCAAAGAATTCTTGCAAATTGGGCTCACGATCCTCACGGCCAATGGCTGCAATATTCATGCCCAGTTCAGCGACATCGAGATGTTCGAGAGCATCGGGAAATTCCCACTCACAGCGATTAGCCCACTTCTCAGCAAACCCTTAAAATTGATCCGAATACTGAAGGATATTCATTCGACGCGGTTTTGGTCTCACTCTGTTACGGACATTGAAATGAAGTTGAAGAATTCTCTCCTTGTCCGCGGGGCCCAACCGAATCCCGCTCGTCAGCCAGAAGGCAAACAATAGTAAGAAACGATAAATCCAGTTGGATGTTCTCTTCGCCATGTCCGCTCAGCCCTTGAGACGAATACTGCCTTAGGGTCCGCTGCATTGGTGAATGCATGCTTGCAGTTCAAATAGTCACCCGATCAATACGGTGTTGTGGCACGTGGGCAGTTCGGTAGTCCCCACAAACATGCGTATTTAGTAAGTTGATCAAGCTGTCAGAAATTACTCAAAAGTGTTTAATTGCATTTTTAACTGCACCACAGTCGCAAGGGCAGTCATTATTTATCTGCTGCCCTTCTGGTGCCTGGAGTTCTTCATATTTTGAACATTAAATATTATTTGTGAGTCATTAAGTGGTTCGTCGTCCGGTTTCAGAAAGTTACACTGAGATTCAGTTTCCCTGAGTCCGGATTAATACGTTAATTGTTCATACGCCAATTCCTGCCAATTCCTCTTTGCATTGTCTAGTACACCATTCACGTATAGCACACAACTACTGCCATAGCTTGAATCATAAATGCGACCACATTGGCAATACACTATTATTTGCGGATTTTCTCTTCCGCCCAAACATATTTTTCGCATTAAAGTCTTACCCCGCTTCCGTTATGGCATCCTGCGTGCCGCTGCTTGACTCTCGTGTTCTCATATCCATTCTATCGGTTAAAGTACTATCGCACATACTGCGAGATGACCTTAGAACAAACTGCCTACTTCCTATTGGCTGTTCGCCTTCACTTGTTGTTCTTTCCAATCTGGGGCAAAGATGAATTTATTCCGCATACCGTACTAAGTATCCCTGCTCATTACTATATCTTCCTTGCATTTGTCACCTTATTTAAATTAGGCAACAACTTTACCAGGAGCGTCCATTCCAGGCAAACACTATAAGAGCCATTTACGCCACCACTCATTCACCCCACCCGTATAGCACCTATTACCACCGGTCCCGTAAGACAGGTAGCTGGGCGTTTTCAGTACAGGGAGGGCTACCAAATACGATCTAACCGGCATCCGGTTCATCTAGTCAAAAAGCCTGTTCCGTCATTTGCGATTCACTCTTCATCGAACGCGTCTGCATTTAATAAAACCAATTCCTTTCAATGTATTGTACTATTGCAGTGTACGGCTGAACTCTCTAATAGTCAAAGCGTCACGTATAAGTCGAAAAAATACAAACTTCAATGTACATGTGATTCTGTATGTAGAAGATAGGTAATAAAAAAACATGCAAACCTCAACAAGGGATAGGTTAGCGAAAGAATTCCTTCATAACTATTGAACGAAATCGAATTTCCAGCTCAATGTCAGAATGAAAACTTAGTTAATTCAAGGAACACCGACCATGCTTGAAGAAAGGTTACGAACGGAAAAGAGCAATGCCAACAGGGAGCAAATAATGGAAGCACTTGCGCAGAGGACGCGAAGAACTTCAAGCATAGACCAACAGGATGCAACACAGGCATTCTGTATATCTGAAACTGAAGTCCACACCACCACAACTACTTTTGACGCTTTTGGGGTCTTCCACTATTACAAGGAATTATCATTTCTGAATAACCAAATATTGCTTTTAAAGTTTCTGTTATGCTTTACTTCCTCAAGTATTATTATTAAGTGACGTAGACATTGGGTTCATGCATTATGGTCGATTTGCCAATGATTAGCAATCACTAGTAAATTTCGACAGCGTTTATGACTTAGGTCACGACATGCTGTTACCCATTTTTCAGACACAGGACAGTTCGGCAGTCGATTTGGACAATCTTTACAATGAGTACTACAAGTGCGTAGATGCGGAAGCAGTGAATTTCGCGTGAATTGGTTTATAGTGATAGTTGACTCAAAAACTACTACTCTGTTTTCTCCTCCCCCAACTGGGTCTGGCGAAACGACAGAGTCAAGAAGATCGGAGGAGGCGAGGGTGCAGTTGGTCGGCATGGTAAAAACCCCAGTCAAAGCGAGTCACCACACCCCCTGGCCCATCACGGTGAAATAACCAGGAATTTACGCAACGAGGAAGGGAGTAGTTAGGACTCCAACCAAGTTGGAGTGCCATAAAAGTCACATGAAGAAGGAGGCAGTGCAACCTAACTCCCAGAACTCCGAAGAGAGTCGAGTCCTCCCCAAAGTAGACAGAGTTCCAAGCCACAACTTTTACAAAACCGACTGAGTAACTTAATCAGTGAGCGCCCATCTGGCATGATTGATATTCCCGATCGCAACCGACGGAACGCGGACCAGTAGCTCAATGGCGCAGTGTCAACCTCCATGACCAAATATCCCGGGTTCGAATCCCAAGTGATCCACACTTAGGGTTGGGTATGACTGGCTGATGACGTCCAATAAGCCAGACATGGCTATTCCTGTTCCTCCCCGTCTTTGTCGGTATCCTGTCATTTACTTCTAATACAAGTCACTGTGCGACTGACTGAGAGGGTTCTAGTATGAGCCCGATGGCACAACGGAACAAGCACGTTCAGTAAACTGATCAGTGAGTGCCCATCTGTCATTATGCATATATGTGGACTTGTTTTCTGTTTACTACACCAAAGACGTCTGTTTAATAGTTTGGTGCCGTTGTAAATCAGAAAACTGCGTCGACTGCGAGCGGACGAGACGTACAGGTCTCGCGTTGACGATCTGTTAGCATTTGTAAGACACTGCGCCCAATCCAGCCTTGATTTCTCTTGACTCTCTCATGATGCCGTACCCAGGTAAATGAGGGAGGAGAGAGTGTGGTAGATACTGTGCAGGCCTACTGTCACTATGCATCAATTCACGACCAAGTCATTGTCAATATATCCACCGAGCTGTGGGACAAACGGTGGATATCGTTCGTGGAAATCGACATTTGCCCTCTTACTGTTGTGATTTATGAGCTCTGCAGTGGGCTCTGACCAGTGAAATCTTGAGATGTGTGACCACGGTCACCAGGCGATCCGCATGGACTTTATGGGGAATAAGACAGTCGACATCTTCGCCTCGAGAAATATCCAAATATTTCTATCAATTTTCTTCTGTTAATGTCATTTTATCTGCATATTTGATCACACGAACCGGCCTAAGGGGCTTCCACGTATTAAGTTCTCTGGCTTTAAAAGAATATTCAGGTTTTCACCATGTATTTTCCTTTTAGATTAAATGCGAATTTGCTAGCGCAATTTTACTCTCTATGTGTATTTTCTGCTTAAACTCAGATGAATGTCGATCATTTTTTGCCGAAAATTATGGGCGATGCACTATGATCGGATACTGATTGGTCTAACACCTGTGTCTAGACACTGAACCAGTGTGCCTTCACACAGTGAAAGAGAGGGTGAAATGCACTTATTTCAAGAGTGGTTCTTCAATTAGTGGACGTAGTGTCTTCTGACCTTTTGAAAGTCCTTTATCACTTACCGCCAAAGCATGAAAGAGAAAGGGAGCGTCGTGTATTTGCCCGCCGCAGAAACTGAACTAGATTCCTCTTATCATTGTGCTGCGATGGAGGATAGAAATAGTGTCATCCGGAGATGGGTTGCTGTATTAATGATGAGTTCACATTGTGTGCTGATAGTGCGTACTGCGTTAATGATTAGCCCTGTCAGGACTGGTGACCCCACCTGTCTATTATTCTTTAACACTTGGTCAGTTCATGCCATAGCGTAGTCTACAAGGTAAAATTCAGCGTTCTGACTGATGACAACTATGATGTAAATTAAATTCCCCACAAGGACACCTTTCGTATTCGACGATATCTAAAGTTTCGAGTATCCTTGGAGGTCGTGTCGGCCCCCACGGGCGATGCCTCCACATAATATCTTTCATATGCTGAGGTGGCTGCCTTTAAACACGGAGCCGGTTCGTAATGATTTCCGTCGGTGACACTTTGTGCACTGACAACCAAGCCCATCCGCGCAGATACTTTTCCTACACAGCCTCATTGGCTTGCGGAATGCACACGCCAGGAATGTTGGCAGTAGACCTTTGTTGCGAGTAGAGGTTCTTCTTGACAATAGTTTATCACGTCAAGCATTTCTTTGGTTTTCCTAATTCTGCTAATACACAGTAGCTCTTTATTATGAGCACGCCTTTTACAGCGCTTGGATGTCTGGATATAGCATTCCCTGAATATAGAACATTAATCACATTATTGTTACACGGCGAAATTTCTACTTTTATATTCTTTTCCCACTTGGCATTGCCTACCGTTAGTTTGCCACAAAAATTAACTATTATGCCATTTTGCTTAGGTCTATCTGTTTACATAGTTATACTTACCTAACTTGGCTGACTACACCACCTGCGTGTTTTTCTTCGTATTCCTTCATTGCACTGAGCAGTTTAGCTGTGCACTGTTGGGGTCCTCGATTGTCTGCGAAATTTGATTTTTATTGGCTACTCTGTCGCCCTGACCCCTGACTTGGACGTCATTGTTGTATCCTCGTTATTTCAGGTCGAATTCGGTGTTATGGTTATCAATATCAATTAAAATCCCACATAATTTTAGCATCAAATGCATTTGAAAGATGGAGCTCTGGAGTGGATACTCGGAGAATAAATACATTCTGTCATACTGTTTGCGGTTGTGTCATTTAGTCATATACTCATGGCCTGTATATTCCAAAGACGTGCTGAAGATTTAGGTTTCGGTCTCCAAGTGGGCTCCCATCAGAACACTAATAAGAGGCTTATGCAATCGTCATCATTAATCAGTATGCCTTTAAGCTCCGATTATAATGCCTCTGGACAAAGTCTGTATGACATTACAACATTATGTTTCTGCAGTTTTGTGTTTGACATTCGCTCCTAAAAATGGATACAGGGCCCCAAGAAAATCTAAATCGAAATTGGTATGCCAGACAAGCCCTTTGCAAGATACGTTTGATTGCGTTTTGGACACGGTTGCGCATGATGGCTGACTGTTGTTAGGTCTGATCATGGAAACACAATGAGCTCAGAAATATATCCCGGCGACTTTAAGGCCTATATAACATTCAACGTGCATGCGAAGAAGGCGTCGATCAACAGAATCGTAAAGGCCATGGGGAGCATTTCAAAAGACTTATTGACCAACACATTTTAAGAGGCAGGCATATTCGACAAAAATAAAATAAGTACTACTGTTTCAAATTTAGTTCCAAATACGCATTAGTCAGGGTTAGATATTTTAAATAACCAATAACCGAAGACCAACACCTATGGGCTGCAGATACTCGGTAAGTATTGTAGAAATGCATTTCCGACTAGACTCCCAGCGCTTCCGATTGTTTGAATTTGCCAATCAGTGCTTGCCTCACTGTTATTATCACTATGGTAAATGAAACTCATATTTAGATCTGGAAACCGTAGGTCAGTAAAATGAAGCTGATCGGGAAGAAAATCCGTTTGAGAGACGTATTTAATTGTTCCCACGGCCGTCGGGTTTTCCACAGTAAACTCCAATGTATCCAGAATTCTTGTTGACATGCCATGTCTCATTAGCTGCCGAAGTTTCTATATTAAATAGAGTTAGACGGTAGATTTCCCGACAAACACACCTGAACATTCAAAACTAGCAAAGAACATTTCGGTCCTACCAAGTGACTGATCCTCAGATCAATTTTGCTGAACTCAATTTGACAGTGCAAGTTTAAAACGTCCTCCTCTCTGAAGATTTCGGCGAATGAGCAAATTCCTGTTGTAATGTTGCCTTTCACAGACAGATCAAGTTTTGTTATCGTTCCATCATGAAGCCGGAAATAATGCATTATATTGGGCCGTTTAAGCAGCTGTTTCTCCACAAACCGCGGTAATGAAGCCAGGGAGTTGACCGTCGGACATTTTTCTGGTGGCACTACCTTTGCTGCAGAGTTTTGGCAATTCAAAAAGGAAATATCAGATTAATGCTATATGCATTGCCGGTTCGTCATCATAAAAACAGTTCATTCTCCAAGGAACACACGACACAAGTTCACTATCTGTATGACACTTCTGTGGCAATACTCAAACTTGATTGCGCCTGTACTTGGCAGTTTATAAATCCACTTAACGTTAGAAAATCATCACCAAGTACATAAATAAAACAGGTAAGGTATTTCAATGTACGGTTGCCCCATGTGAATGCGATTTATATTCTAGGACTACTGACTTATATTTTGCCCCGGGCATTTCTATTGGTATGCCTTTAATCTGTAAATTCCTTACTGCGACTCAAACTAAGGATGTATACGCTTGTGTACTGCGTACAATGAAATTCGGGTAAACCAAATGAACATAAGTAATTATGCCCATGGTATTCAAACTAAGACTGAGAGGGTTGGTGTCAGAGAGCGTACTTCAGGTTTGCATATTTGTTTCCGATCAAATTAACCAGATTCTTCTGAATCACTCTCATCAAATGCAGCCAATGCTCTTGAAACTTACCTCCTTCGCGTCACACATTGGTGGTGCCGATTATGTTTAACACGAATTCCGATGTAAGTAGTGTTTTGCTATTAATAGTTGTCATACATTAACGGTCTGTTTGTCTGATATGCAGAAAGGCGTTCATAAAAACAGAGCAAAGTAATGTAGCAAACGCTGGTATGAGCAGACTATGTCGAAAATGGTAAATACCTTGAAAGAAGAAACAGGCTTCGGATATAGACAGCAACAATACACTGATAGTCAAAACCCGGAGCATCAGACGGTGGTTATTCGGGAGATGTGGCTGACGAGGGGGTGAACTGTAAGCCTCTGTAATTGAAGAATAGGTGCGCACTGTCCACTTATATATGATGCAATCAAGCGTGCATGCTGTGCGTGCATTCATGTTTTGATGAAGTAGGTCATTGTTCACTATGCTATGACTGCTTAGAAATCTGACCATCAATGAGAAATTTAAATTGGACTACAAATGCTTTTAGTGCAGAATAGAATGGGTGGTAACGGCCTTCTCGGCGGCAACTGCTTGAAAATGCGAAATGCGTGAGGACTGAGAGTGAAGGAGCTGAGAAAATCACAAGTGCACAGCTATTATGGCTGCACGTTCTAAATATCGCGCTGGTCCAAAAACACTAATCCCTCAAAAGACATAGGAGGACGGGCCCAAAAAAACGATAATTATTTGTTTAATATATTATTTAAACTATCTCCTTAAGGATATTATTCTATTTGCGAATACCGTCCATTAGGTGGCACGCGCCGGTTTCGATATTAAAGGGTTGATTTACGAACGCTGTGGATCCACCTTGCATTTATTACCCTTGACATATTCTACATCCGCAGAGCGACCGCATTACTCGGCATTCGGTTTTCTCTTCGCTAGCATACTGTTGGGGAGTTGAGAGACAACGGGTATATACCGAGCAATAGTTCACCAACCTTGATGTAGACTAACATGGCCGATGAGTGACAGCAGTAGTCTCTATGCGGCTTATCCTACGGTAGTATGTCTAAGGACAGGGTCTAACCAATCGCAGTATACGCCCCTAGGTCCACCAATCTTCACCAACGTTTTTTGAGATGAGGAGCGACGGCAGTAGTCGGTATGCAGCTTAATCTATGGCAGCATATTTGCTTAACGATCGCTGTAGATCACGCCTACTATTATCAACATTGAGATAGGCTTCCATTGCTGAAGAGCGACCGTGGCAGTTGGTCTGGGGCTTCCTTTATACTAGCATTCCTTTGCGCAGTTACACAGCGACC